ATTATCGATACCACAGGAACCTTACAGTTATTTACAATGTTTTGAAAACCGGACCGGACGTTGAACCGGACAAGTAACTGGGTCACGGTTGGACCGGTCCAACCGAGGTTCAACCGGATTTTATATTTTTTTGTGAATTTTTTTTATATATAATTATAAATAACTATTTTGTAAATATAAATATATTTATTGTTAAAAATCAATATGAAACATCTACCTCAAGATTTTAACTAAATTCGTGAATAATTCACATCCTTAACGTAAATTGTATTTATATAAATTTAAAATGTAAGCATAAAATCGGCGTACATTCCCAACCCAGGCATTAATAAACATTAAACAAGGTAACAATGAATGTTGTAGGAGGGCTTCAATATAAATATTTGTAATTACAACAAACCAAAACCCTAATATTTTACTGCAGCCTCCTTTCTCACTCTTTCTTCTCTCTCTCATTGCCTTAAATCCTTTGTCCTTTGCTAATAGTTTTTATTTTTTCCCCTCTTCTTATTCTTCCTTCTTTCTTAATTTTTCTACATCCACCATCACCGATGACACAATCATGAATCGGCATAGCTAATGGAGATGGAGAAGTAGAGTTTATCTATATATATATATATATATATATATATATATATTACTTTTTATTATATAACCGGTTTTTATTCCCGGTTTTATCCGGTCTTGTCCGGTCCGACCGGTGATTTTCCGGTTCTCAGCACATCGACCCGGTTTTTTCAACTTTTCGGGTTTCTACCTCAAACCGGACCGTGATCGCCGCCGGTTCGCGGTTAAACCGGTCGAACCGGCCGGTCCGGTCCGGTTTTCAAAACATTGGTTATTTAAGCTTACCTCAGGGGGGTGTGTGTAATTTACCCTTTTTTCTTTTTCTCCAAAAGCATTATTCAAGAAAATAAAAGGGTTGCTACAAAATGGGGACTTTCATTGGGCCGGGCCAAACTGTTGGGTCGATGGCACCCCTGAAATTCGACCTTGATTCCAGTTTTTTTTTTTTTCTTTTTTTTTTACAAATGATTTATTTATAGGGGAAATAGCACTTCACCCCCTAAAAAATCCTGTTTTTGCACTAACCCCCTTAGAAATACAAAAAAGAGAGTTCCCCCTGAAAATATTATTATGATTGCACATTGCCCCAATAATCAAATTGTAGTAATATTTTGAATAGATTCAGATTTTAAAAGGGTATTTATAGCCTAAGACAACATCTCTTATGGAACCACGAGAACAAGTTACTATCAAAGGTCATCTGAAAAAGAATGTTGATAGATCAACCCGCCTTATCAAATCCGAATTTAAATTTGCACATTCATTCGATGACAGTTGTTCTTCACGGGTTAAAAAATGTAACACTTATCTAATTTTTTTTGGTTTTATTAATGGTGTGCTCATACAGTACCGTCATTAATGATTTGTATATTATGATCCAACATCCTGCGGCTTGCACTAGTAAGTCTACAACCAAAAAGAAAATAAACTATTCACTTAAACCAATCAATGAATTGCGGTGTCAGGTACTATTGAGTCTGCTAAATTTGATGTCACAAAAAATATACAAGTACTATTTGAAAATATTAATATTAAAAACAAAATGACATATTGACAGATGGGTGTCGATTATATGCACCCAATAAGGGCCTACTGGTGTCGATACATCACTATATTTAGTCTTCATTGAGGTATCGATGTCTCCTTCTCGATTTTATGAGCTTGTAGTCAACATCCAGATGTCGAGATCTCATTGCTTACAAAATACAGTGATATCGACATCAAGATGTCGATATTGGGTGCATAAAATGGATATATAAATGTCGATATGTCCCTGCTTTCCTTTTTTGATTTTCTTTTTACTTATTAAATGATAATTTTCTATACAATGTGTAGG